CGGGGGTGGGGGGGGAAGAAGGTGCACCCCTGCCCCGTGAGGTCTCCAATGGACCTGGAAGTGCTTCTGGTCCACTTTCGGGTCTGCTGCTAAGCGTGCTGGGGAGCCCCTCACACTCCTGTGGGATGCTACATGTGCCCCAGCATCACAGCACTCACAAGCCGCACCTGGTACCTAGAGGTACGTAGAAAAAACTAACATTTAAAAAGCTGTCTATGTCCAAATCTCTGAATCTTTCCAAAGTGATTTGGAGAGATCAAAGGGTCCTCCGATTCAATTCAAATTTAGAGATTTGGCCGCCGAACTGAGCCAAAATCTCTGCTGAATCGAATCAGGGACCAAAGCTTTGCACAGTCCTAGTTAATCAAGCTTCCTCCTAGTTCACTATGCTGCCCATTATCATGGGCAAACACAGAATCTGCTTCCAAGTACAAGGGCTATATTGACATAGCTTTAGAAGAGTAATTAGAAACCCTCACAATGAAAGTTTAGCTTACCATTCAGTTGCTCTAATAAAAGGCATCACATTTATTCAAGGAACCTTGCCTGCCTTTAGCTTATCAGGCATTTTCAAAGGAGAACCATTTACAAAATTGTCTTTACATGAAAATAGGATGAATTCTGTAAGGGTGTTTAAGGAACTAGGAGAGATTCTCAGCCAAATCCTGCCATCTTTAATGAGTGGGACAATGGTTTCGGTGGGAATTCTGCTGAAGCAAGAACAAATTAAACAAACGTGTGTCATTCTCTTGCTCCCATTCTCATAGGTGGCCAAGGTGTTGTGGTGGTATTATTTTTCTAAAGTAATTGAATTCATGGACACTATTTTCTTTGTACTACGGAAGAAGAACAGTCAAATCACCTTCCTTCATGTATATCATCATGCCACCATGTTTAACATCTGGTGGTGTGTTCTGAACTGGATACCTTGTGGACAAAGTAAGTATTCAATCACATGTCTTTGGTGACTTATTACACTTTATTGTTCAGGAAAGAGGGGGGGGAGAAAAAGGAGGTGGGAGAGAAAGAGTGGCCTACACAACTTGCTTGGATAACTGAACTTGAATAACCTAATTATGCAAGGATATTCTAGTAGAACCCAAGTCAGGCATGGTACACAACCTACTTAATTCACAGCAGGCATGAATAAAGTTACTACAGCTTTTACTTTTACCTTACTGGCCTTCTGCATTCTAATTTCTCTCTTCTTGTACCCTGTTTTCTGCACACCCTGTCATAGCCTTTTATGGAGTGAACATGAGTTCATGAAAGCTTGTGCTTGCTTGCATGCCTGCATCCACTCCCTCATTTAGTTCATCAAGGTGCATATCTACTCTGCCATGTTAGTCTGATGTCAGGCAGAAGGCAAACTATGTCTAGCTATATATATTCCCAGATACTTTGCAAACCTTCCTCTTTGCAGAGAGTTAAGGACTCTAACCCTGCAACATTATCTGGGTTCTGCTGCACTACGAGTGGAATTACTTGCACATTCCTTCAGTCATCTGAAGTGCCAGCCACCACCTACATCTTGCACTAACATGGTCATTAAGAGCTAATAAAAACTACTTCTGTGCACTGAGATACCCCAGTGGAGAAAGGGTTTTGACAAAGTGTTATTGCTCAAGCATAGCTTCCCCAAATTAAAAAAGTGAGAGCAACTCCACTGAATTATGCTCAGGCCTATAATATCAATTGCAAGAATTACCAGTAGGGCAAAATCCTGACCCTACTGAAGTTAATAGGAGCCAGTAGGACCAGACTATATCCTATACCATATGGAATATCTTTGTTTGTGGAAAAGACTTTCAAGGCTGTATAATCCAGACCAGGCACCCATGAAGTATGCTCATTTTCAGATGCTTAAAAGAATAAAAAAAGAACAAAGACCTGCAGTTTGAATGCTTGGCTGATAGGAATCACACAAAATAGAGAAATCAGCTTTTTGGCAGAAGAGATGAATAGCTATAGTGAATGATGCCTAACAGGACTTTTTCTTTGTTGTATTCTCTAGCATGCAATCTTGTACAAGTCTAATAGTGTCCTGACCAGAGGATGACAAAAGGTGGATACAACAATTACCATAGTCAGGGATAAAATTCTAGTGAGACCACTTAGCTGTAGATCAAAAAGGTGATGCAGGGTGAACTCCAAGAGCATGTTTCATGGGAGAAAAAGTTCTTCCCTTAATTATATTGTAAAAAAAAAAAAAAAAAAATTATGCTTGTTGGATTCCTACAGGTTTCTTTGGACCCACCTTGAATAGTTTTATCCATGTTCTGATGTATTCCTACTACGGATTGTCTGTCATTCCATCCATGCGCAAGTATCTGTGGTGGAAGAAATACCTCACTCAGGCACAACTGGTATATTTCACCCTTCACTCTCCTTATTTTTAATTGATGTTTTTGTCTTAAGAGGTGGGACTAAACTGCAACCTTAGATGGAAGCCATTTAACATGTAGGTGAGGGATTGTAGAGTCAGAGAGGAAGGAGCTCAAAATTCAAGGTCTTATATCCAAGTTCTCCCCATGGTTTTAGTGTCAGATCAGATCAAAAAGCTGAAGGAGCCAGTTTTCTAGTTCAGAAGTCTCATGAAGAGATATCTTGAGGGTTCAGAGCTATTTTTACACTAAGCCCTGATTTAATATGGCTCCAGACTGGAACTTCACAATCTTTGCCCATCTCCAGAAGGAGTATGTATTCAGAGAGTACTAAAGAAACATTTGAGCTGAACTCTGTCTGGGATAGGACTGAATAGCTTAGCGAGAAGATACTTTCTAAGCATGCACAATATGGAAAACATTTCTAACTCACAAAGCTGCATTATTTATAGCTTTTTAAAAAAAAAAAAAAAAAAGAGGAAGGAGGCTATCCAACTATGGCAAATGCATCACCAATCAAAAAGTTCTAAAAGCTCTCAGCTTTTCAAGTTGACCAAAACCATACAGTATTCAGAAGTTTAAACTTCTTATAGGAATTAAAAAATTCATGCCTATGAAACAGACACTTTACCTCAAGTACAACGGGAAAGTCAAGACCTCTCTGAAATAGGAAGTGTAGCCATGGTGCATGAAGAAAATGCAGTTATGTAAAGTCATCAAGACAAAAACTTCTCTTATTCAGAGAAATCTGTTCTTGTCCAGATCCTGTACACAGGCTATGGTCATTACTATATGGAGAGCAGCGCTGCATCCAAAACACGTGCTATGCTGTATTTCTTACTGGTAGAAAAGAAAAAAAAAAAAAAGACCACTTCACATTTGCATTTTAAAAAGGGCTTCTTTGTTCTCAGTTGGGAACAAAGAGGCCAGCAGCAAGCTTAAGGCACAATAATGAAAAGAGTGCATCTTAGTTCCTCTTGTCACACTGCACTTACAATAGGATAATGACTTATTTAATATCACCACCACATTGGCTGCAAGGAGACTCAAACAATTCCTTTAATTGCTCAGGGTCCAAGATCTCTCTCATAGGACTAATACAAAATGATGAGGCCCTTTGCAGTTCTCCTTCCCACCTCACTCATTTTCCATTACCATACCCACGAAGGTGGTTCCCATCTCTCCCAGGCCTCTAAGTTCTCCTCATAAATGAGCGTCTCTTTTTCAGCTCTCTCTTGGAAAAGCTGCCACCCTGGGTCTGAGGTACCACTGTAAAGGGGATTCTTTAAACTGGCCCAATAAATTCAAGCCTGCTTCAGCCTCATTAAAAGAGAGTCATTACCAGATTACAAGCTGGTCCCTCTAAGAAAGCTTGCATTTTCAGAAGTGTGGATAAAAAAAAATCCTAGCTTTTTAATTATTTAGCACATAAGAACAGGGGCTGACAACCTATGGCTCAGATCCAGCCCACTGCAGGGCTTGTGCACAGGGAGGAAAGGCGATCTATAAACGTTACTGACCTCTGCCTTTGAATGACTGACTCCAACCCAGAAATGCTTCAAGCAGTTGTCCACGAGCTGGTAGTTTGAGAATGTACAGGCTTCAAAGACCAGAACAGCAGCAGGAAGTTAAGTCTGATGATATTACTCTCAGCAGCCTCTACCCTAGAAAACACTCAAAAGGTAAATAAATCCCAAACATTTTGTCTAAATAACTAAATTAGCATGTGTGTGCGACCTGTCTTTCACAGATTCAGTTTCTTCTTACCATTACACATACCCTTAGTGCAGCTGTGAAGCCGTGTGGATTTCCATTTGGTTGCCTCATGTTTCAGTCCTCATACATGACTACGCTGGTCATTCTCTTCATAAACTTTTATATTAAGGTAAGTTTGAAGAATGTAAAGATCATAAAATGAGATTTGATTTCAGATTATAATTATTCCCAGAGCCCACAATAGACAATCAGTAAGCTCTTCTTTCTCTGTACTATATGAGATCTTGGATTATGCTGCTAAAATCAGAGAGCTAAGATTTTTTTGCCCAATGGACTGATGTGCAGAAGAATAAATGGTCATAAATCAAGTTACATTTGTATATCTTTAAGAGACTTTTTTTGTGGCTATTCTATCAGATCTATATCTATAAAAAAAAGTCACCTCCAGTAACGAAACGATCTCAAGATCAGGAAAATGTTATTCCCCTTCCCATTAAAGACCCGATTTTACAGTTTTCCCAAGCAGTTCCTATGAGTTTACCAGATTTCTCACTGTATCTGCTCAATGAGCACTGAGCAGAAGTTTTGAGTGATACTAATTTTTTTCTTGGGGTTTTTTTTGTTTTTGTTTTTTTGGTATTTTTTAAGGCATAATAGGAAATATTATCCAAGTGTGTATGCAAACAAATGTGTGTTTTTCCCAATAACTCTATATATTGATCCAGGGTATAACATGCCAATAAGGTAGAACTTCAGTACTATTTCAGACAACTCAATAAGCTTTTTTTTTTTTTTTTTTTTTTTTAATAGAAGTAAATAGCAGCAATTGATTTTGAGAGCTTTACATGAAGAGATTAGGCAAGAAAAGTTGAAGATTAACACAGTGGTATCTGATCTTGCTGTGGCTAGTGCTGAGACTTATTTATTGAGAAATGATCTCATGCTGATGCAGATAGATGCTCAGTCAAACATCCCTGCACATTTCCCTGTATCTGACCATTAATGGCTAATTTTTTTTATTTACCCAGCTGGAAGAATGGTCAGTGAGACCTTTGGAGACACCACAAGTATTTTAAATATAGTCATATATTGGTGCATATTCTTTGAGTCAAATACTCCGGGGTTAGGGGGCTGGAGAACAGAACAAAGAGAAAAGAACCTACATCAGTTTTCAATATTTTAGAGATGAGAAATTTTGCATATAGCTACCTAATAAAATAATTTAATTAAAATAATTCAACAGGCATTTGTGGGTTTCATACAAAAGAACAAATAGTCAGGTGTAATTTCTATTTAGTAAGTATGTACCTGAAGTAGGACCTACCTGTCATTTCTAACTTATAAAATTCAGTCTTACACACTTAAGTATCAGCTCTACAAATGAAGCTTACAACCTTCTGACACTTTCTTTTTCAAAAAAAGAGAGGGAGGGTGGGAAGGCTTAAATGAAAGACAGAAAGACTGGTAATGAAGATCAAAGTTAACTGCGTACAATGATGGATATAGAATTCAGACAGTGCAAGGAGTTCAAAGAAACCAGACCAAGCAGGAGCGACTGAAAGAGTCACCAGCACTGGTACTTCACACCTGATGCAGTACCATGATGGTCTTCATAAAATTAATTTTATTTTTTTCTACAGTGTTATGTGCACATCAGCTCAGGGTTCTTGAATATGAGCACTTCACAAACCATGATTAAAATGAATCAGATCAATAGCTTGGTGATATAGGTACTTGAATTCCAGAGACCTGGTGCTGGCAGAAACATCTGATGTTACTTTGAATCGTCTCTTTGCATCTCAGTTCCTCACCTAGACAATGAGGATCATAGCTTTTCCTCGGACAGCATAACTTAAATCTTTAGTGGAGAATGTTTCTTATGGCCTAGCACAACAGGCCTTTTATATTATTCATCCTATTGTAAATGGAATCACTCCCCTTATCTCATTTACCTCTAGGAAACAGCCAAAATATTAACCTAGTCAAACTTTTACAATGACCTTTAAGCAGCATATTCATACAGGTGTGTAGGTATAAGAGAAAAATATAGTTCTACTAAGTGATCCAAAATGTATTTACTTTTATAGACATATCAGAAAGCACCTTCAAGAACTGACATGAAGGAGGTCCCATCTGTGACAGAACTCAAGAATGGTTTCCATAAAGACTACTTGGCTAGAGCCAACGGACTTCTGACCAATAAGAAAGCACAATAAGTATAACAACTCAATATTACATTATAGTATTCCTTTCAGTTTTGCTAAGAAGAGACAAGAGACTGAGTTGAGACACCACTTTAGTGTAAACCCTGACTCAGTTTGGTTACCTGTAACAGTTCTTTGTAGCAGACATTTTATTCATGTATCGTGAATTAGGTTTTTAACAATGTGTAGCTTAAATTCTTTGACCGAGATCAACTTCAAAATGATACAAAATGATTTAAGGTCGATCACTCAGATCCAAAATGCAAAGGAAAAAATTCCACAATCTGAAATGCTGACACAAAAAAAAATGCCTTACAAAGTATTTCATTGGGAAATCCAGACAGTGGTTCTTAACTTCAAAAGTTAAGGCTCTGTTCAGACTAAAAAAGGTTAGAACATCCTACAGGAAAGCAAGGCACTGGAACAAGTACTTTGTATTCCACAAATTTATCTCATAGGCAGCTGGGTACTTAAGTCAGTTTTTGACTAGTTCAGCAGAGATCACCTGCAGAAACTCAGCAGGATAGCCATCCCACACCAACACATCTACCCACTAATCACAGCCCTGCTTGGTCTACTCATAGCAACTGCTGACACACACCAGGCCTTCAAATGCTATTCTTAAGATTCCCAGAAAAACAGATTTGCCTTCCTTAAGTCACCAAGGTGTTTTCAGCTCTGAAAATTAACAGTTAATTGCAGCATAAATTACTACTGCAGTAAATGTACAACTTCAGCATGCCCAGGTAGAGCAAAAGGTGTGTGGTGTGTCTATGCACGTGGGACCCAATCCAAAGCTTTCATGGGATTGGATAAAGATTCCTGCCTCTTTGGCCACACATCAGCTAGGATCATGTCTATACTGCAAAATTAGTGCCAAGCATGGTGCACTCTAACCCACTGCACCACATGCTAGCTGGTAAACCAGTAGTTTGAGCATGCTGCTGCCTGGCAAGGCAACTTTGCAGTATAGACCCACTTTAGGATCTAAAAGGTGTTGTGTTACATGGTGTTAACTAGCTCAATTCAATTTGCCTTGTTAACACCTTGTCTTGAACCCATTCTAGTTACCATTCAAGACACTTGAAGGAAACTTTACGCTTCAACAGATTGAAAAATCCATAAAACAGGCTGCAACAGATGACATACAGTGTCTTAAACCAGGCAGTTGAAATGAAGTGTGTATGTATACACACACCTCCAGACTCTGGTTTAATCCCACGAAAAATGGGATTGCTTTCCAACTCTTCAATGAGCTAGTTTTTGATAAGTTTATTTTTGCTTGTATTTTACTGTAGTGGAGTGGGGAGGGAGGGGGACTCTGAACTCAGTGTGTATGAGGAGCTGTAGTCAATCCTTTGGACTGACATTACTTTGTAGTTCTCTCCAGTTCATATTGCAAAACCCAGGATATGGTCCGACACAGATTAAAGTAAGAGTATGTTAAATATGGGTGAAAATTCAGAAGGAGCTTGCAGGTGTAGATTTGGTATGAGAAATGCTGCTAGAAGTGGTGGGCACAGGAAAAAAAAAAAAAAAAAAAAAAGCTTATCAGCTGATAAAGAAGGGGGTTGCAAAGGCAACTAAACTGAAATGCTGAGTTGTTAGACTTTTGAGCTAGTGCCAAGACAGCCCTTGACACCAAAGCAGAGAAGGGAAATGGTTGTCACTGGGCTCCTAGAGCATGTCAAGAGATGTGCAATTGTAGCATTTCCAAGCTGGCATTAAGTTTAGCTTGCATGGGAATAGGGTAGGAGAGACATGGCAGCACAAGCTTCACCATATGCAAGCAAGTCAAGTACAAACCAGCCCAGAGAACCTGGCTACTTATGCAGGCAAACAGCCCATGACAAAAGTCCGTGCTGCCATGTTTACCCTATCATTGCTACTGGCCAAACTCAAACTAGAACAAGGACTTAAGGCAATATCTTTTATTGGACTGCATAGTTAGAAGAGACATAGAAAAGCTTTTGGGTACCATTGTACCCTGTAGGTCTCAGAGACAGTGGTATCTGAAAGCTTGTCTATGTTCCTCCCAACTGTACAGTTGGTCCAGTAAAAAAAAAGATATCACCACAAACATTTTTGCCTCTCCCATTTTTTCTGGACCATTATGGTTACAGCATCACCCCAACACTACCACAGCTAGAACAAGAATGCTTTTCCATGCTAAAAAATAACATCTTCATTCTGCTCCATAGAGCCCCTCTGAGGCACCAGAGAGAGCACTCCATTTATTCTCATGCCATCAGAAGAAAGATTCGAGTAGGGAGATGAGATTATTAATTAGAAAAATCTTGGAAGTTACTCTAAGAAACAGATCATGAGAGTTGGGGTACCAAAGAGGCTTTGTGGCCAAACAAGGGATCCTGAGTTTAGTCTGAATGAAAGCCATAACCCTTTGTGTGCAAAGGATGTGAGCAAGCATCTTCCTAACCACACATCTGACAAGTAGTGTGGAAAGCATCAGCATCCCAAGGCTTAAAGCTTTATCGTGAAAGCCAAACTCAGACATCCGAGGATCATGTTGGCAAAGCCAAAATTACACACACGCACACAAATAAACAAACCACAAAAAACCCAAAAAACTTGCCTTACTTGAAATGCTCTAAGGGCTGTTCAACAAGTGTCACTCTACAGATCTAAATCATCTGGCAGACTGGAATCAGGTATGTTAAAACCTATCTTACTGTCTTCAAAATGCTGCAACTTTGAAAAAAATAGAAGAGGCGTCAACTTTTTAAAATTGATCTTCCTGTAACAATTTAAATAAACAAATTTTACAAATCACTTTTCTTGTGGCATTTGAGGCCTACTTATATATATATTTTTAAAAGAATTGGAGAATATTTTCAGAGACGCACAGAGAAAGCTGATGGGAGATTCCCGCACCAGCAAAAGTTTTCATGCAGCTGACATTTATGTTCCTACCCTTTTTACCAGTTTCCCAAAGAAAGCTACCATTCAAAATTATGAAAAGAAGAGTGGAGTCCTCAGTCCATTTTCAACATGATGCACACACAAATGCATGTTTCAATTCCAGCCCCTGGAAAAGGGTTTTCAATTAAATGCACACTGGGATAGGCCCTCCTGTAGTTTTTCTTTATTATTAGCCTCCATTTCCACCTAGGCTGTTTATTTTCTTCATTAATTCCTGCTTTTTTGCCTTTCCTAGCCCCCTCGTGTTTTATGGGCACAAGATAGAGATGGTTGGGCATCCACTAGCATGGCTGCTACAACAAGTTAACAAATAGCTCTGAGATGGTCATGGAGAGTTTTAGTATTGTACAGGAGAGAGTGCAACTCTGAAAACCAATTCATACTGTTCAAACTAATTTTAAAATTGCCTGTTCAAAGAAATGAGGGGAAGTGTATGTGGAAGTTTTTTCAGATTCAAATTCCAAATCTCACTCTTTGGTCTCATTTGAACTAAAGGAATCCAAAAGCATATCCTGGTACCTGCCAAAGGTTTGAGAGTTAACTGTGGAATAAGATTATACAGTATGATGATGCAAGGGTTAATAGGATTCACACAGCTTGATCTTCCCCATGGACATGCACTTCCCATGAGGGAACACTGCAAGCTTTCCCTTTCAGTTGGAGGGAGTTAGATAGAAGGAACTGGTTGTGAAAGACTTCAATGTAGTATCCCTTGTGGCAAATACAAGTAGAAATTTTGTTTCAAAACAGGTGGAGAAATTAGAGCATGTCTAACTTAATGGAAATCATGGACAGTGTTCTCTCAATCCCTCTTATTGTAGCTGTTCACTTCCGAATACAAAATAAAAATTGACCACCCCTAGGTTTGGTCACAAAGGAAAAATCCTTTCAGAAAGCTGTGTACCAAAGAGAAGGAGTTAGAGACCCCAAATTTAGATATCAAGCAGATAATTCATACCAACAGCCCAGAGCACACAGAGGTACTGAGCACCCATCAGGATCAAGTCCATTGCAGAAATGCCAACAGGCTTAATTACAGAAGCTCTAAATATTATTATGATCTCTTAGAATCAGTTACAGTGGGAAGCAGAGAGATCCTGGACTGCCATGAACTCAATCCTGTGATCCAAATTCATCAAGAGGCTGTTTTTGCTAGCAACCATACACCGACTTCACCAAAAAAAAAAAAAAAAAAAAAAAAAAAATTAAAATGTGTATTAAGCAAATTGTATTGTGAACAGCTACAATTGTACTGTACTTTCATATGCTAAAAGTAGTTATAGATAGCAGTGATATACTGCAGAAGTATCATCCTATGAAAACATTCAGTCCCTCTTCTGCATTCTTTTTTCCATTTCTGGAAGATACAGATACTATTTTTAAAGTTCTCCAGCTCTTACCAACTGAGAATGAACTCTGACAAGGCCAAAAATAGGCTTACTCCCAAAGGGCAGAGCAGCAGCAAAGCAGTTTGTGGTGACTAACAATCTAAGAAAGCTTATACATGCCTTCCTCCACAGTCTTCTTCATTGGGAGTCCCCTTGGGATGTAGAATGTCCCAACAGTCTACACATGCCAGTGATTCTCAACCAGAGTGCTCCAGCACTGTGGGGTACGTTGAGATCCTTTAAGTGTGTCATCCCACCATGCTTCTCTCTCTAGGAGACTGTGTACAGCAGCAGCAGGAGGGGGCTCCTTGCTGCAGCCTGGTCTGACAGGAGGGACCACCATGCAGCTGCTGTTGTTGGCCCTTCTCAGAACCCAAGGCCAGTAATGCCACCACCACGGACAGGTTAGAGCAAGTGCTGTTCCTGCTCCTGTCCCTCCTGGAGAACTAGGAGCACACCCTGGGTTTCCATGCATGGAAGCAAAAAGTTGTGGGGTGGGGGTGGAAGCACCTCTCCCTATGTGAGAGAAAGGAGAGGGCTCCCCTCTGCCTGTATTCAGAGTGCCACTCAGAACCATTACAGAAGGGTGCCTTGAGTCAAAAGGCGCATCTACACGTCTCCCTACGGCAACATAGTGATGCACTGTCACTGTATGGCATGCTACAGCGGCATAGCGATCACATGGGTCTGCGCTTGATCACCAGCTAGTATAGCATGCTGCTATGGTGATTTAGCTGGGAAAAAATTTACCCGTGCATAGCACACATGGAGCAATAACAGCCTGTACTGTGCCATGCTTTCGTGCTTCCAAAAGCAGGTAATAAAGCACAGCGCATGGCAACATTACCATACAGCAATGTGTAGACACGCTCAAAATGTTGTTAACTACTGACATAGGCTCTTTGCAAACTGTCCTTCTTGTGAAGTAGAAGTGCAATAGTGCATGATCAAGGCCCTTTTGTCCTTCTTATAGAGTATTTGGGTCTAAAAAAGGTGTTTTATGTTCCCTTTATTTTCTGACATACATCTGCTATAAGAGATTCAGCTTATTTCTGAGGAGAGTAGATATTACAGAAG